GTCTCTGCTAAATATACAAAAAATTAGCCGGGCATGGTGGTACACACCTGTAATCCCAGCTACTGGGGAGGCTGAGGCAGGAAAATTGCTTGAACCCGGGAGGGGGAGGTTGCAGCGAGCTGAGGTTGCAGCAAGGCGAGATTGCACCACTGCACTCCAGCCTGGGCGACAAAGTGAGACCCCGTCTTGGGGGGGGGTGGGGCAGGGGGATGGAAAGAAAATAGTACAACTAGAACAACATACCATAATAAAAGTTATGTGAATGTGGTCTCTTTCTCAAAATATCTCATTGAACTGTGCTCATCCTTCTCGTGTTGATGTGAAATGACAAAACATTTACAAGATGAGATAAAGTGAGTGACTTAGGCACTCACTAATGTGATATAGTGTTCATCTACTATCAATCTTCTGGACCTTCTGACTATGCCTAAGGGAGATCATCTGTTTTGGGTGATGCTGAATCACTGAGTCGGGCCAATGTCCACAGTTGGATGTCAAAAGCTGATGATGTCAATGACTAACCGATGGGTAGCACATACAGCATGGTTATGTTGATTCACATCCAGGACAGGGTGGTGCAAAATTTCATCACGCTACTTAGAACAGTGGACAATTTAAAACTTAAACTACTATGGAAGGGACTATGATTGCTTCTTAGGGTAGTGGATATTCTAGATACTCTTCAGCAAATTGGACTTCAGGCTGTATTTGAGAAGTTTCAAAAAACTTCACAAATGCATGTTAAGTGTATACATATGACCAGGGTTAACATCCTAGAATTACAGGGCTCAATAGTACACCCATGAGGTACTGACCTCAATCCAACTGTATATTTACATTATGGTTCTGATGTGGCAATGCATAAAGATAAAAACTTAAAGGAAAAAATATACCAGCACAATTGGTATTTCTGGGTGATGATGTTGCAGATAATTACGTTTCTTGATTTTCATTTCTAATGTTAACAATTAGCAATATTAATAATGTTTATAAAATACTGTCCTAACTTTATTAAGGTGTTCATGCTAACATTTGAGATTTCATATTTTCAAATTTGGGTTGTTCACCCAGTAAGTATAATGGAAATATTCCAAAATAAAAAAACCTCAAATCCAAAACACTTGTTCCCAAACATTTTCATTTAAAAAAAAAGAAAAACTCGGCCGGGTGCGGTGGCTCAAGCCTGTAATCCCAGCACTTTGGGAGGCCGAGACGGGCGGATCACGAGGTCAGGAGATCGACACCATCCTGGCTAACACGGTGAAACCCCGTCTCTACTAAAAAATACAAAAAAAAAAAAAACTAGCTGGGCGAGGTGGCAGGCACCTGTAGTCCCAGCTACTCGGGAGGCTGAGGCAGGAGAATGGCATAAACCCGGGAGGCGGAGCTTGCAGTGAGCTGAGATCCGGCCACTGCACTCCAGCCTGGGCAACAGAGCGAGACTCCGTCTCAAAAAAAAAAAGAAAAGAAAAACTCAACCTGTACCCAAACAAAAATCTCAAATTTCTTCCCTCGTTAAATAAAAAAATCATTTATAGACTGTTACAACATAGCAGTTGCCATAACCTATCAAATGTAAACCCTGACCATACTCCAGTAAATTTTATCTTAAAAAAAAAAGTTCCGCACACCTGTAGTCCCAGCTACTGAGGAGGCTGAGGCATCGGTAGGATCCCTTGAGCACAGGAGCTACTCTCTAGCCTAGCCAACATAGTGAAAGCAGGTCTCTAAAAAAAGAAATTTAAAAAAAATTTTTTTTTAATATTTTAAACCTTATTTTATTTTAGAGACAGGGTCTCACTCTCTTGCCCAGGCTGGAGTGCAATGGTGTGATCACGGCTCACAGTAGCCTCAAACTCCTGGGCATGCCACCATGGCCCAGCTGGTATTTCTTATTTTTCGTAGAGATGGCGTCCTGCTATGTTGACCAGGCTGGTCTTTAACTCCTGGGCTCAAGTAATCCTCCTGTCTCAGTTGCCCAGTGTGTTGGGATTACAGGCATGAGCCACGGTGCCCAGCCTGAAACCTCATTTTAAAAGTTTATATCAGACCAGGACCCCAAGATGGAGTCAGCTGTACCAGTGAAGAAGAAGAAACTCCTGGATGTCAAACTAGTGGAACTGCCAAACTAAATATTAATGCGTGATCTCACACAAGAAGGCACTGTTGCAGTGTTCAAAGAGGTTACTATAGGTATTACAACAAGTACTCCAACGTGAAGAAACGGGGCTTGATGGGAATTCTGTGGTGCTGGCAGCTTCTGTGCTTTTCAGCTACTGCCTTTCTGAAAAGGAACACAAGCATGGGCAGCTACAGAAGTAAACCTGAAGACGGCCATTGCGGAGCGCTGGCTCCTGGATAATCTCCCTAGTTTAATGTCAGCTGATTAGCAACCTTAATTCCCTCTGCACCCCGATTTTTCCCTTGTCATGTAACATATCATATTTACAGGCTTCAGGGATTAAGAAGTGAATATCCTTGGGGAAACCATTATTCTATCTTCGTTGGTTCAAATAATTCAGGGTTTGTTCATTCAGTGAGGTCATTTTATTGAGCATTTAATATATTTTAACTTCTGGTACGCTCTTACGGTCACAAAATAACAGAATCCTATCTCATTTGCTTATATGTAGCTGACAATTCATTAATCAGTATAGTTACTGAAAGTTACTTGAACACAGAAACCATACATAAGTAACTCTCCCTATACACTGGTGTAGTGAAATTTCATTAAAGGCTCTTTTCTTCTTTGACACACAGTTATGCTGCTGATGAGAAATTTTACTATGAAAACAATGTGATGTAGTGAAAAAAGTTAGTTAGGTTTTTTTTTTTTTTGAGACGGAGTCTCCCTCTGTCACCCAGGCTGGAGAGCGGTGGCGCGGACTCGGCTCACTGCAACCCCATCTCCTGGGTTCAAGTGATTCTCCTGCCTCAGCCTCCTGAATAACTGGGACTACAGGAGCCCGCCACCACGCCCGGCTTATATTTGTATTTTTAGTAGAGACGGGGGTTTCACCATGTTGGCCAGGATTGTCTCGATCTCTTGACCTTGTGATCCACCCGCCTCGGCCTCCCAAAGTGTTGGGATTACAGGCGTGAGCCACCGCGCCCAGCCCTATCTTATTATTTCACAAACCAACCCTGGAGGCATGTTTGGAGTTGCCTAATTTTCATGTACACTTTTTGATAAGGAACTAAGAAAAATAGCTTGCTGAAAACAAGGGAGACTGAGTCCAGAACTGAATGAGAAGCACATGGTTTCTTCATCCTCTATCACCAGGCTGTCTAACGAGGCTGAAGAAGTACTATCCATAAGTAGCGCGTCAGGGGCAAACAAACAAAATCGCATATGGACACTAGTGTGAAATTCGAGAAATCCGAGGCGGGTTAACAACAGCAAGCAGATTACCAGGCCGATCTTCCTCAGGTCCCAGGTTGGCACCACAGCGCCCGGGAGGAATCCCCACGGAGGCGCGCCGGTCCTACCGGCCTCACTCCCTACCTCCTGGAGGACCGGAGTCCCGCTCCTTTCCCTCAGCGATACATCCCCCGTACCGGTCCACTTCCTCACCGTGAGTCGAGGACTACTTCTCCAGACCAGACGACTGACACACACTGCCAAGGGCCGACTCCAAAGCGCCCGTCCTGCGACTGCGTAAAAGGCTCGGGTCATCCGGCCGGAAACGACTCAACGCGCAGCCGCCGCGGCCTCCAACCACCGGCCGGCAGAGGGGGCGCTAGACAGCCCTCGATCCGCTCGCCGGGGTCCTGCGGAGGAGGAGGCGAGCCGCAGCGCCGCAGGAACGAGCCCAGGGAGGTAGGTTGTCGTGGGACTCGGCCCGCCACCCTGGCAATTCCAGTCAAACGGCAAGCCAGACTCGCTTTGCCGGCCCATTTCTCTCCTGCCCCTGCAGCCGACAGGAATGGAACAGTCCCGCGGGGGGGGGGACTGTGGAAGGCGCACGCGCGAAGGTTGGAGGGTCGAGTGGGGGCTGTGCTGGCAGCGGCTGCTTTGGCGGCGGTTGGTGGCCGTGGGGGCGGGAAGAGGAGGTGGAGGAGGCTTGGGCTCGCGCAGCTTAAGGTACGCGTGAGGGCCTGCGCCGGAGCCGGCTTGACAGGGCCTGAGGGGGAGTGGGGGACTGGGCGAGGAGGTTCCCGTGGGTGAGCGCGTACGGGCTGGCTGGCGCGCTGGGCGGCCGAAGGTGGTGGTTGGTGGGAGCAGCCAGCGACTGGCCCGTAGACACTCGTACGCTTGCGGGCGGGCGTGCGCGCTACGCGGCCGGAGTCGGGCGGAGCGGGGGACGGTGGGGAAGAACGCGAGGAGGGAGGAGTGGGAGGTTGGGGGGGCGCTAGGCGCCCTTCGCTCCCTCCCTCTGGAGGAGCAGCCGCCGCCACCGCCGCCACTCTGCTGCCGCCGCCGCCGCCGCTCCCGCCGCCATTTTGGGTTCGCTTTGCGGAGGGGAGACGATCCCAGTCTCGGTTGCGGGACCCGCCTCCCCTCAGTTTGCCCCCTTTAGCCTCCACCTTTCCCTTCTCCTCTCTCGCATTTCCGCCAGTCAGCTTACCCGCTGGCCGCCTCCTGACAAGCGGGAGGGATCCGCCGTGGACCCAGGGAAGCGGAGGAGCCTGGCGGCCACCCCCTCTTCCCCACTTCCCTGCACTCTCGTCGCTCTCGGCCTCGGCCTCCGACACGGTGAGTAGAACGATTTGGGCAGGCCTTCGGGCCTAAGCACTCTCTCAGCGATTGAATCCTGGGCTTCCTGGGAGCCACTGTCATCTCCCGGACCTGGACCTCCGGGAGAGCAGTGGTGAAGATGGGGGAGGGGAGAGCAGGGAGGGGGATCCTGAGCCTACCGGGAAGTCCCTCCAGGCGGGGTGAAGGGGTGTCCCTGACAGGCGGACTCCCGGAGGGGGCTGGAAAGTAAGCGAGTGGAGGCGGAGTCGTGTGTGCCCCTGACAGGTTAGTTTGTGTTTGTAGGCGTGATCGGAGCCTCCCCCATAGTCCAGTTTGTGTGTGTTTAATTAATGGATAAGAGTGTTCGGGGACACGATCCTGAGAGGGGAGTTTACCTGTGTGACAAGGTCTGTGGTGTCCCTGCCGCGTTGAACGGTATGTAGGAACGGCAGGATGATCTCAGTGTTGTAAGTTTAATAAATGTCACTGATTAGTTTGTACATGGAAAGAGGTGTTTTTGGTCTAGAAGACAGATGGTCTGTTGATGTGTAGCGGCTGTGTTGGTGTGTGTATGCGAGGATGGAAAGTGTTTCCGGAAGAGTTTGCCTTTATTTGTGTAAGTGTAATGGAGTTCCCCTTATAAGTTAGCTTATTTCTTGAATAAACGTTGGGAGGTTCCTTGCAGGTTGATATGTGTGTGTATTTTAGGGATTGGGAGCCCCTAGTTACTTGTTGGGAAAGAGTGGCAATGGTAGTGTTCTATACAGCATGTGTCTGTGAGGTCATGGAGGGGAGAAACTTAGCATAGCCAGTTGTGGTCTTAATAGTTTGTGGCTTTGGTTAGAGTGAGTTGTGTAAATGTGAAGGCCCAAAATATCTTTAACAGAATCATTGCTACAAAGCTGTAAAGAATGAGTGACCTTATTTGTTGTCGGGGGTTTATAGTAATAGTTTACAAATACAATAAGAAAGCGCTTTCAATTTCTTTGTGATACTAAATCTCTGTGAAAATGGTAGGATGCTTTCTTCCATTTTACAAAACAGTTAATTTAGGCATAAGGAGAGAACTTCTCCAAGGCCCATATTAAATTGGTGACAAAGTTGAGACTGTAACTCCCATATTTTCACTACTACTGCAGCAGTATATTCAGCATACCATGGTGCCTCAGGAAGTCTTTGTCGGCAAATCTGAGTATGTTGGAAAGATAGGAGCACATATGACTGGTTGGATTGTATTTGGAGGAGACCGATTGTGTCAGATATGTATGTGGAAAGTAGATGTCCTTGCCCGGTCTGACCTGTATGAAATGCATATCCATGGCTATATTATTTTGTTTATGGGGGAAGCAGAGCATTTCTGACACTTGAGGTTGTATGTGTGAGGGAGAGAAGGCTTTCACAGCTTAACCTCTACCAGAGCAGCTGCATGGGTGCTGACAGCTTAACTTGAAATCTGTGGGAGGAAAGATCCTTTTTCATTCATTCAACAAGTATTTGTTGACTGCCTGTTCAATAAATCGTCCATGCCTTGGGGTGAGGATAATCAAGGTATCTCTGTAAATAGCCTGGGTACAACCTGAGGGGAGTTGTTTTGACAGTGGTAGATATTAAGTTGAGTGAAGCAGTGTGGAATTAAAATCAGAGAACTGGTTTTGGGTTCTGGTGATTGTTAATGTATGTACCTGTGGATGTTGGAACTTCTTGGCTGGGCTGAAGGAATCCTTTGAAAGATTGATTTCATATAGTAAGAATCCCCTCTGTGAATATGAGGGAAGAGTGCATGAACTAAGCCAACTTAACTGTATTCTTCTGGAAAATGGGATGTTTCTTGATAGGCTAGATTAGTGGTTCTTAAAAGTTTTTGGGGGTCATTTATCCTTCTGAGAATCTGATGAAAGACACTGGGCCCTCAAGTTAGAAGATGAGCATAAGCACAATCACATGATTTATACATATGATTTTAGGAACTTAAAGTGTAATGAAATAGAGCCAATTTATATGTAGGTCTCATTTGAAAACCTTTCATTTTCTTTGTCTGGGTGTGTGGATGTTAGTATGAGTTTAAGGTGAAGGAGTCTATGATAGTATTTGAACATGTTGACAGGAGAACTTTAGGATCTGTGTTTTTTATGTATTCTTTTTATCGTCTGCAAACTTATTTCTGCAGTGTTAGTAAACAATTCTGTATTTGCTAAAAGGGGAAGCTAATGTAGCACAAGTATCTATGGCTTTGTTCTTTGTCAGTATCTTTTTGTTCTCAAACTCTGAGAAGCGCCTTTTTTTCAGTTTTGGATTGGGCCTGAGGTGATTTGAAGCTCCTATCTTGGAGTTTAGCTTAGTTATAACGAACACTGAGTTAAGCCTATGCAGGAAACACAAAGATTAATATATGGTCTCTGTGCTTGAAGAGATGCTACTTTTCTGTGGTTGAAGAGATGATGTGAATTGTATGATGGTGGCAGCTCTCAAAAGGACAAGGAAGAGGGAAACATTCCTAGAAGTTGAAATTTTATAACCCAGTTGCAAAGACTTTTTGTCACTACTTATTCTTAGGAATAACCATGAAGTGTGTACACTCTGTATGGAACTTTATACTTAAAAAAAATATGTTTTGTATCGTCTGGTGTTTTTGTACAAAGGAACTGTTGGTTTGAAAAGAAGGCAAACATCATTTGTGTTCCTTAGCTGTTTTGGGATATATTTCCACAGTGAGTTTATGTAAAAAGTCTTAATGTCATTTTTGGGTATACATACATGTAGAAAGCCCTCCTGATATAAAATCCAGTAGCTATTTGACAGACTACCCATTAATTTAGTACTAGAAATTAAAAATAATTACTGTACTTTTAAAAGAACAAGAAATTGGTCAGGTGGGGTGACTCATGCCTGTAATCCTACCACTTTGGGAGGATAAGGTGGGCGGATTGTCTGAGCTCAGAAGTTCAAGACCAGCCTGGGCAACATGGTGAAACCCCGTCTCTACTAAAATACAAAAAATTAGCCGCATGTGTTGGAGTGCACCTGTAGTCCCAGCTACTAGGAAGCGGAGACACGAGAATTGCTTGAACCAAGAATTGCTTGAACTGGGACGGGGAAGTTGCAGTGAGCTGAAATCACGCCACTGCACTCCAGCCTGGGCATCAGAGCAACACTCTGTCTCACACACACACACACACAAAAAAGAGCAGGAAATTCAAAAAGGTGTTTTAATAGGACAGATTATAGGATTCAGTGAGATAATGGAGAATTTTTAGGAAAAATGGTCTGTTAGTCCTTTCTCTCTATTGACATGGCCCCTGTGTAAGAATACTATGTAAATTTGTGAAAAGTTTAATATTTTCTCTAAATTTTTAATGGGTAGTAGGTTCATGGTGTTGTTTTTCCTCAAAACGTACATGTGATATGTGTGTGTAGTGTGTATATATGTGCATGTATGTTTATATAGTTTATTTTTTTAATAGCGATTAGGTCTTGCTATGGTTTTGTTTTTGTTTTTGAGAGTTTCACTCTTGTCGCCTGGCTGGAGTACAGTGGCACAATCTTGCCTCACTGCAGCCTCCACCTCCCAGGTTCAAGTGATTATCCTGCCTCAGCTTCCCAAATAGCTGGGATTACAGGTGCGTGCCAACACGCCCTGCTGATTTTTGTATTTTTAGTTGAGACAGGGTTTCACCACGTTGGCCAGGCTGGTCACGAACTCCTAACCTCAAGTCGTCCACCCGCCTCGGCCTTCCAAAGTGCTGGGATTACAGAAGTGAGCCACTGCCCCTGGCCCAGGTCTTGCTATGTAGATCAATCTGGTCTCGAACTCCTGGCCTCAAGCCATCTTCTTGTCTCAGCCTCCCAATTTGCTGGGATTACAGGCCTGAGCCAGCATGCCCAGCCAAAATTTTTACCTGGTTACCAAATCAAAGATTTTCTCCAAAATGAACTGGAATAGCCTTACTGTGTTAATGTTGCCTTGGTGGGGACGCCTAAGTCTTGGAACTAAATTGAGGTAGTTATGACAGTTCTCTTTTTAAAGCTGATCAGTATTTCACTTGTGTTTTAGAAGTCCAGTGTACTTCAAAGTAGGACCATCTCTTTTTTCTCTTTTTTTTTTGAGACGGAGTCTTGCTCTGTAGCTCAGTTTGGAATGCAGTGGCATGATCTCGACTCACTGTAGCCTCTGCCACCTGGATTCAAGTGATTCTCCTGCCGCAGTCTCTTGACAGCTGGGTTTACAGGCACGCACCACCACGCCTGGCTAATTTTTGTATTTTTAGTAGAGACAGGCTTTCACAGTGTTGGCCAGTAGCCAGGCTGGTCTCGTACTCCTGACCTCAAGTAATCCACCTGCCTTGGCCTCCCAAAGTGCTGGGATTACAGGTGTGAGCCCCCGCACCTGGCCAAACCCATCTCTTTCATTAAACCACTTTATTTTGGTTCAGAAACAAGACTGCCATGTATGTAGTGCTTAATTATGTGCCAAGCACTATTCCAGGTACTAAGATACAGTAATGGACAAAACAAGATCCCTGCTCCTCTATCTCAGGACTTAATAATTTGGGCATTTTCATTTTCCAATCTAGGATCTTTCAGTACTGTTACAGGATTCCTGAAGGAATTCCTGAAATATAATTATTTTTCTGCTAGAGCAAATCAATTTTTTTTGTTTCTGTTTTTGTTTTGAGATGGAGTTTCACTCTTTTCACTCAAGCTGGTGTGCAATGGCGCAATCTTGGCTCACTGCAATCTCCGACTCCCGGGTTCAAGCGATTCTCCTGCCTCGGCCTCCCGAGTAGCTGGGATTACAGGCGTTAGCCACCACGCTCGGCTAATTTTGTATTTTTAGTAGAGATGGGGTTTCACCAGCTTGGCCAGGCTGGTCTCGAACTCCTGACCTCAGGTGATCCACCACGCTCAGCCTCCCAAAGTGCTAGGATTACAGGTGTGAGCCACCACGCCCAGAAGAGCAAAATTCTTCTGTTGACAAAAATATCTTTCCTCTGAGGAAAAGACACTATGTGCCTATGTTTTATCCAGGAATTCCACTGGATAGTTTGTCCTTAAAGGAGGATTTATCAGGGGATTAAATCCTCCTTTAAGAATGAAAGTACTCGGCTGGGCGTGGTGGCTCATGCCTGTAATCCCTGCACTTTGGGAGGCCGAGGCGAGTGGATCACCTGAGGTCAGGAGTTGGAGACCAACCTGGCCAACATGATGAAACCCTGTCTCTACTAAAAATACGAAAAATTATCCAGGTGTTGTGGCGGGTGCCTGTAATCCCAGCTACTCAGGAAGCTTGCAGCAGGAGAATCACTTGAACCTGGGAAGCAGAGGTTGCAGTGAGCTGAGATTGCACCACTGCACCCTATCCTGGGCAACAGAGCGAGACTCCGTCTCAAAAAAACAAAAACAAAAACTCTAACATGTAGAGTATGTAGATGTAGAAACAAAAGTAAAATGATTGTTGAAAAAATGTCTGTTTTTTATCTTCTAAATAGCTTTGTGTGTCAGAGATCAGAACGCTCATTTTACATGATATCAAGAAACAGAATGCTAGATGGCTAGAATGGTGGTTACTTTCCTAGATATCCATTGTAGAGGAACACATAAGGTAAAACAAATGAATAAAAGTTAAAAAAAAAAATGAGATAGCCAAAGATTTGAAGCTCTTTACCCATTAACATGATAATCATTTCAACCTTGAAAATTTATAGAACAAGAGTCAGAACTCAGAACAAAGATCTCTGAGGAAGTAAAGATCAAACTGCCTCCTAATTTCTCATTTAGTCTGTCATTGGGCACTGTCAAAACTGTCAAACTATATTTAGAGATTCTGGTTTTCATCTGGAGACTTAATGAGTCGTGTAGTATCTTGAATACACATATAAGATCTTGCCAGGTGGGGTGGCTCACGTCTGTAATCCCAGCACTTTGGGAGGATGAGGTGGGAGGATCACTGGAGCTCAGGAGTTCGAGACTACCCTGGGCAACATAGCAAGTCCCTGGCTCTATTAAAAAAATAATAATAATCCTCAATGTAGAACTTTAAATTTATCCTCATGTGTTGCATCCAGTTGATTTGAGAAAATGTAATTTTGAATTTTCCATCAATTGCATTGGCAGTCCCTTTCAGCTTTACAGCTTTACATCATCTACAGATTTGTTAAGTATGTTCTCTTGGTCTTCTAACTCACTGATGGTGTTCTTAAATAGGTCAGGTCCAAAGATAGGGCCCTATGAAACACTGTTGGAAACTTGTCTCTGACTCTCTCTCTCTGTCTCTTTTTTTGAGACAGTGTCTTGCTCTGTCGCCTAGGCTGGAATGTAGTGGCACGGTCTTGGCTCACTGCAACCTCTGCCTCTAGGAATCAAGAGATTCTCTCACCTCAGCCTCTCAAGTATCTGGGACTATAGGCGTGTGCGACCAAGCCCAGATAAATTTTTTTTTTAGAGATATGTTGACATTTTGCCCAGGCTGGGAGACTTGTCTCTTGATTCCATTCAGTATTGTGAGGATTTGGATAGGCCATCTACTTCTAAAATCATCGGGCCAGACGTGGTGGCTCACGCCTATAATCCCAGTGCTTTGGGAGGCCAAAGCGGGTGGATCACCTGAGGTCAGGAGTTCAAGACCAACGTGACCAACATGGAGAAACCCCATCTCTACTAAAAATGCAAAATTAGCTGGGCGTGGTGGTGCATGCCTGTAATCCCAGCTACTTGGGAGACTGAGGCAGGAGAATTGCTTGAACCCAGGAGACGGAGGTTGCAGTGAGCCGAAATTGTGCCATTGCACTCCAGCCTGGGCAACAAGAGTGAAACTCCATCTCATTAAAAAAAAAAAAAAAAAAAAGAATCATCTAGCTCACATTTTCTCTTGTTGTCTTCCTGTTAGAATTTAAGCTTCATGAGATTAGAACACCTCTCTCTCTCTCTCTCTCTCTCATTCTCTCATAGCATCTAAAACAGGGATTGAAACATAGTAAGTACTCATAAATGTTTCTGAACAAATGAATTAAGGATAGCCGGGCGTGGTGGCTCAAGCCTGTAACCCCAGCACTTTGAGAACCAAGGTGATGGATCACTCGGAGCTCAGGAGTTCAAGACCAGCTTGGGCAACATGGGGGAAACCCATCTCTACAAAATATAGAAGAATTAGCCGGGCATGGCAGCACACTCCTGTGATCCCAGCTACTTGGAGGGTTTGAATGGGAGCATCGCTTGAGCCTGGGAAGCAGAGATTGCAGTGAGCCAAGATCAAGCCACTGCCCTCTTTGCCTGGGTGACACAGTGAGACCCTGTCTCAAAAAAGAATAAGGATAAATATGAAGAATTCATCAGATGCCTTGTTGAAAACGTCATACATTGTCTACATGGAATTTCTCCTTATTGTAAAATGAATCTAATTTATACCAACAACATGCTGTTTGGCTTTTTTGCAGAAAAGGAAGCAAATGAACTGATGGAAGATCTGTTTGAAACTGTGAGTAGTGATCCTCGAGTGAGAACATGGGATTGTAAGTTGGTTCTCCAACAAAATGTGTCCTTTGGTCTCTGTGATGCTCCCTCTAGAAGAGGGACTAAACCAATTCTCCTTTTAGTCTGCCTGGGAAAGAATATAATGACAAGGGAAATTTGCTAAGTACTAGACTCTTGATTATCCACATGTAGGTTATTGTTATTAAAATTTTCCTTGAAGCTTTTTTTTTTTTTTTTTTTTTTTTTGGAAGCAAAGTCTTGCTCTGTCACCCAGGCTCTGGAGAATACAGTGGTGAAATCTCAGCTCACAGCAGCCTCGACCTCCAGGGCTCAAGCAATTCTCTCATCTAAGCCTCCTGAGTAGCTGGGACTACAGGCACACACCTACAGGCCCAGCTAATTATTTTACTTTTTTCTAGAGACAGGGTCTCGCTATGTTCTGGAACTCACAGGCTCAAGTAATCTTCCTGCCTCAACCTCCCAAAGTGCTGGAATTACAGGTGTGAGCCAGCATATCTGGTCCCTTGAAAACTTTCGATGGCTTCCCCTACTGTCATTTGGTGTGTCCTTAAAGATTGCCAACTAAAGTATTTTGCACACAAATAATTACCTTTCCCATAAATTTGTCTGAAAAGATATTTCTGAAGAGATTGATCATTTTGAGTTACCCTAGCTCTGTCCATACTGATACAAGTTGACTGGTTGAGCGACGACTTTCCCGGCATGATAGTCCTTCCAAATGTGGGTTTGTGGGAGTCCTGAAGTGAGAAAGGTTTTGATGTAGGCTCTTTCTGGGTGCCAGCATTATTAAAGTCTTGTAATCTGTAGTTTTCACTCTTCCTTTCCAATACTGGAGCAACATTCGAGACCCATTCCCCAGGAAAACCCTCCCTTCCCTTTGCCCACAGTTCCAAGATGAGATGGGATTCTCCAACATGGAAGATGACGGCCCAGAAGAGGAGGAGCGTGTGGCTGAGCCTCGACCTAACTTTAACACTCCTCAAACTCTACGGTAGGCTAGTTGAAAGACCTTGAGATTTGGAATAGAGGAAAAGTTTATTTCTGAAAAGGTTTTCAGAAGTTGCAGTTAACAATTTTTCATCCCCAACCAGCTTCTGTTACTGATGTAAGGATGCAGAGCCCTGTCAGGAGTTAGGTGTCAGGTGAAGTCTCCTTGGTATGGGGCAGTGCAGCTGTAGGCCAAGCTGTATCTGTTTGGGAAGGGAGAAAAAACAGTAGCTGGCATCCATATCCACTTCTCCAGGTGAGTGGTGCTGGAGAGGTATGTAGGAATTTATGTGGCCAGACACACAAACTACCCCATATTGTAATATCGAGTCTGTCCCTTTCGTTCTTTTTATGTGCCATTAATATTTGCTAAATGTGACTGAAAATTTGTTAAGTCACCTAGGCATTAGTGGAGCAAACCCTGAAGCACCTGCAGTAAGGAGTCTGAAACGTATGTGCTGACGTTTCTGCCTGAGGTTGGCACTTGTGTTACAGCATCCAGAAAGTAGAGGCTTTAATTTTTTCCTCATTTTCTGGTGGATTTGCATCTGCACTTTATTCTGTTGTAACAGCATATAATCATTAGGTGGATGGCAACAGGTCAGGATGCATTTTGTGCCGTAAGTGGAACAAAGCAAAGAGAATAGACCCTCTAATTAGTCCTGTGTTGTAACTTAACAGCATTACTAAGCAGAGAGCTTGAGATCCATCTGAAAGTTAGATCTTTAATGATTTTCTAGGCTAGTGAAAAAAGATAAGATATGCCAACCAATGTCTAAAAACTAGAATTACTAGTCATTCTCCATTACAACAAATATCACAGTACAACTACATCAAAAACCTCAAGATTGCTAAGTCAGTATTTGACCCATTATTTTAATTTATAGTTCATAGAACAAAATTATGGTATAGCAGAATGGAACCATTCATCCTGGGAATGTATAATGGGATTTGATTAATAAACATTTTGGTTTCGCTGATCAACTCTTTATAACTTCTTAAAATTTGGAAAGTGTAGAACTAATTTAAAATTCCTGTTAGAATTCAGTTACCTTCTGGTATTCAATGGAATATAGTCATATATCATCTCATGGTCATACCCTCTGTGAAATCTATCATTAAACGATTCGTCATTATGTATTAAATGATTCATCATTGTGTAAACATCGTAGAATGTACTTACATGAACCTAAATGGTTTAGCCTACTGCGTACCTATTGCTCCCAGGCTACAAACCTGTACAGCGTGTTACTGTACTGTACTGAATACTGTAGGCAGTTGTAACACAACGGTAAGTACGTATGTATGTAAACATACAAAAGGTACTGTAATCTTGTGGAGCAACCTCTGAATATGTGGTTCATTATTGACTCAAACATTATGTGGCACATGACTGTACGTGGGCCGCTGCTGCTTCTCTTTCAATTGCAAATACAAACCTGTTTTAATCTTTAAATAAAAATCCTGGATTCTGTAAGTCCATAGATAGTAAAAACATCTTAAAACACAATAAGGAAGAGAGAGGAGAAAAAGACAGTCAAAACAAAATCTCTGGGGCTTCCGTTATCAGTTATCTAAATAGTATTTATTAAAACTAAGTGCGGTCTATGTTTCCATTTTCTCCTTTCTTATGCTTCTGCTCTTTTGTTCCTTCAGTGGTGGTAGCACAAATGTTCAAATTTTCAGTTGTCAGTAAAGATTGTATAGACAGTCCCATAGTCTTTAGGTTTTTGCTCTGCTACCCAAACCCACAGTAGTAAATACTATAAAAGAAAACTTACTCAAAGGTAATCTTTATCTGCAAAAACTATTGAAAAACGTTACCATTTAACTATTGCTGTAATGTAGGGGTTTCCTTGAAATATGATAACCTGCTTGTTACAGCTACTTCAGCAGATCTTATCCTGTTGCATAGGGTATCAGCATGTGCTTAATCATTTAGGTATCTTATTCTCCCTTTATTTCTTTCTATGTAAACATAGAAAAGGTACACTAATCATACATAGAACTGACATGCTAGGTATTTGAATTTTTGCTCCAGCCCTGCAAACAATCTTTCATGAGAGTAGGAGTGGGAAGTTAGGGTTAGGAACCTTGGAAGAGGAATTTAAAGGGCCAAAAGAAGATAGCCTTCATGGATAGTAGTAGGATAGTATTTGAACTAACATCTCGGTTGTATTCTTTTGAACTACTGTGTATTTCAGTTATTTTGGTATATCCTTTTCTTGCTTCATGCTAGTAAGTCTTTGACTTGTTAAGATAGCAAGGCAGTGCAGCCTGAGTAGATGGGATAATGGGACAAGCTGGACCTGGGATGGGAGTAACAAGTAAATGAGAGAAGAAATGAGAATGATGAGTTCCCACCAGCTCCTTGGCTGCTTTCTTACCCATATATTTCTCTGTCCCTAGATGTTTGGTTTTTTTCTTCATTCGTATATTATTTGGAAGAGGAATTGTAGAGGAATGGCATGGGGTATAATACAGAATCATATTTGATGCATGCTAACTACTTTGGGAAAAGATTTGTATAAGGCTGGGAGTTTGACTGCTGGCTAAAGTGAAATGGGGGATTAGGGAATGAAAATTGTTCAGGCTGTTTGCTCATCATTGGAAAGAATTGGATGTGTTGTGAACCTAGGAAAACACTCACAATCCGTCATCCCCCTGTTTGGGATAGGTTTGAGGAACTACTGGCCAACCTACTAAATGAACAACATCAGATAGCAAAGGAACTACTTGAACAGCTGAAGATGAAGAAATCTTCAGCCAAACAGCAGAAGGAGGTAGAGAAGGTTAAACCCCAGTGTAAGGAAGTTCATCAGACCCTGATTCTGGACCCAGCACAGAGGAAGAGACTCCAGCAGCAGATGCAGCAGGTAACACTATCCTTGGTCATGTTAATATTGAATTATACCAAGGCCTAACTCTGAGGCTTTGGTATAATCCAAAATTAACAACTTTGTAAATGTTAGAGATAGTTACCTTACTACCTATTAAAACTGTAGTATCTTCACATCAGTTAGAAGCTTGAGAAGTCATCATGTTCATGTCCTGTGGCTCAGGGAGGAGAGCACATAAGGACCCTAATGGTATTCGGAATTACAGATTTCAAAGGGTCCTCAGTAATCTATTCTGAAAGTGTTTTTCCTTTTCCTTTTTCTTTTCTTTTCTTTTTTTTTTTTTTGAGACGGAGTCTCGCTCTGTTGCCCAGACTGGAGTGCAGTGACTCGATCTCAGCTCACTGAAAGCTCTTCTTCCCGGGTTCACGCCATTCTCTTGCCTCAGCCTCCCGAATAACTGAGGCTACAGGCACCCGCCACCATGCCCGGCTAATTTTTTGTATTTTTAGTAGAGACAGGGTTTCACTGTGTTAGCCAGGATGGTCTCGATCTCCTGACCTCGTGATCCGCCTGCCTCGGCCTCCCAGAGTGCTGGGATTACAGGCATGAGTCACTGCGCCTGGACGTTTCCTTTTGTAATCTCAATTACTCTGTTTTGAGGCTAAACTTCCTCTGGTTCTGTCATTTTGTTTGAGGGAACATGTCTGAGAAATTTATGCCAAGATCCTATGTTGTTCTCATACTCTTTCCAGAAAGCAAAATATGTGTCATAAAGTTGCAAACATCTTGTGGTTAATGTCTCTCTGAGGGCTGGGTGCAGTGGCTCACACCTGTAATCCCAGCACTTTGGGAGGCTGAGGTGGGAGGATTGCTTGAGCTGGGGAATTCAAAAGCAGCCTGGACAACAGAGTGAGACCCTGTCTCTACAAAAAATAAAAATAAGACTGGGCACAATGGCTCACACCTGTAATCCCAGCACTTTGGGAGGCCAAGGGAGGTGAATCATAGGTCAAGTGTTGGAAGCAAGTCTGGCCAACATGGTGAAACCCCATCTCTACTAAGACAAAAAATTAGCTGGGTGTAGCAGCGGACGCCTGTAATCCCAACTACTTGGGAGGCTGAGGCAACAGAATCACTTGAACCTGGGAGGCATAGGTTACCATGAGCCGAGATCATGCCACCGCACTCCAGCCCAGAAGTCAGTGTGAGACTCTTGTCTAAAAAATAATAATAATAATAAAATAGCCAGGCAATGTGGTCCCATCTACTTGGGAGGCTGAGGTGGAAGGATTGCTTGAGCACAGGAGGTTGAGAGGGCATTGAGTCATGGTTGCACCACTGCACTCCAAGCTGCATGACAGAGCAAGACTCTGTCTCCAGGGGGAAAAAAAACCTCTCTGGGCTCCTGAAATGGCAGTATCATAACATATCACTGTATTATTTTCTTTCTCTCCCCAGCATGTTCAGCTCTTGACACAAATCCACATTCTTGCCACCTGCAACCCCAATCTCAATCCGGAGGCCAGTAGCACCAGGATATGTCTTGTAAGTTTCCAAATTGCTGTAATTCTATAGACTAGAATATAAAATTAGCTTGGCAGGTTATTTCTCACAGTTATTCTTCTCTCTTGGGTATTTTTGATTGCTATGGCTTCCTGTGTTTGCTGAGTGAAGATAAGCCTCTGATTCACATGAAAGGACAAAGAGTGTATTCAATTTTTTCTTTTCTTTTTTTTTTTTTTTTGAGACAGGGTCTTGCTCTTTCACCCAGGATGGAGTGCAGTGGCACAATCTCAGTTCACTGCAACCCCTGCCTCCGGGTTCAAGTGATTCTTCTGCCTCAGCCTCCCAAGTAGGTGGGACTACAGGCAGGCACCACCACGCCTGGGTGATTTTTTTTTGTATTTTTAGTAGAGACAGGGTTTGCCATGTTGGCCAGGCTGGTCTCGAGCTCCTGACCTCAAGTGATCTGCCCACTTCGGCCTCCCAAAGTACTGGGATTATAGCCATGAGCCACTGTACCTGGCCTGTCCTTCTGATATTTTTATTGGGTCCTCCTCCTCATCTTTAGATCCACCCTGACTTCTTAGGTTTTTGGTACTGCTATTGGTTTCATAGATGTTGAGGCTGGGTGTAGTGGCTCACGCCTGTAATTCCAGCCTTTGGGAGGCTGAGGTGATAGGATCACTTGAGCCTAGGGGTTCAAGAACAGCCTGGGCAACATAGTAAGACCCGGTCTTACTATGTTAAAAAAAAAAAAAAAAAAATTGTAAAGTAAATACGCATGTAGGTGTTGAATTCATCATCCATTCATTACGCTCACTATTAGTGTTTTATGTGTAGAGCTAGTTTTGCTCGTGATGTTTTGAGGTTTTTTGAGCTTTTAAATTTGAAATTTGGCCAGGTGTGATGGTTTATGTCTGTAGTCCCAGCACTTTGGTAGGTCAAGGTGGGAGGAATTGCTTGAGCCCAGGAGTTTGAGACCAGCCTGGGCAACACAGTAAGACCCCATCTCTACCAAAAAACTTAAAAAAAAAAAATTAGCTGGGGATAGTGCCGAGTTCCTGTAGTCCCAGCAACTTGGGAGACTGAGGTAGGAGGATCACTTGAGCCTGGGACATTGAGACTGTAATGAGCTATGATTATACATCACTCCAGCCCAGGTGACAAAGTGGGAACCTGTCTCACAAAAACAAAACCAAATTTTACCTCATAAAAGTTGCCTCAAACTTTTGGACAGGTAATGATAATACTCTCAGCTTCTTCAACAAGTCGTCTTTGGAGTTTGAAGAATACATTTGCTACTCTAAAACTTACTTGGTGATCAACAGGATGTCTTCATCTCTTACTGTATTCAGAGGAGGATGAGGAGTACTTGGTTGTAGGCATTATTCTGAGACCAAAAGACAAAACAGTTTTAAAAGTAATGTCCTGGTCGGGTGAGGTGGCTCATCCCTGTAATCCCAGCACTATGAGAGGCCGAGTCAGGCAGATTGCGAGCCCAGGAGTGCGAGATCAGCCTGCTCAACCTGATGAAACTCTGTCTCTACAAAAAATACAAAAATTAGCTATGTGTGGAGGTGTATGCCTATAGTCCCAGCTTCTCAGGAGGCAGCGGTGGGAGGATGGCTTGAGCCTTGGAGGAGGAGGTTGCAGTGAGCTGAGATTGTGCCACTGCACTCCAACCTGAGCGGCAGAGCGAGACCTCGTCTCAAAGTAAGTAAATTAAAGTAATAGTCCTCATTCTTCAGCCTCTTAACTCTAGCTCGGGAGCTAGACCATGTATTCCTTAGTGATAAACAGTTTAAAACAAGAATATAATCCCTGAATATCTGAGAACTCACGCGTAATCTTAACAGAGTAGTTTATTGTGAAAGACTTTATGATGATTTTTACCTGTTTTTATCCTGTAGTAGGAAGGTCAGCTTCTCATTTAGATTCTGAAGGCTACTGGTATTAATTATCTGGAATTGTCTTAGATCTTCCTTGTGTCCTGTTTTCCCAGAAAGAGCTGGGAACCTTTGCTCAAAGCTCCATCGCCCTTCACCATCAGTACAACCCCAAGTTTCAGACCCTGTTCCAACCCTGTAACTTGATGGGAGCTATGCAGCTTATTGAAGACTTCAGCACACATGTCAGCATTGACTGCAGCCCTCATAAAACTGTCAAGAAGACTGGTAGGAGACAGATGTGTCAGCTTTAAGTTTTTACTTGCGGTGAGAGGTGGTGGGAATCTTACCCCATAGATAACTTCCTAGGATACTTGCCTAGGAATGGAGGACACAGGACATTTGTAATTTCTTTCTTCTGTCTTTTATCCTCCCTTCATACTCATTATCTGAGTTCTAGAATTACATGATAATCTCTGGGCCTGGGTAAGGCATGAAGGCAGTGGACAGTATAGGAGTATGGGAGGTAGAGATATGAGGCTCAGTGCTAAGAATTGGACTATAGCAATCTGAGGGATATTAGGAGTCAGATCAAATTAAACTGGGGCCTGGTAAAGATGAAACTCAGGTGGTAAAGTTTGGTCATGTTTAGCTTTTTACTCTCTTCATTAAGATCAACTAACTTGATTTACCATAATGATTCTATCATAGGTGATGTCTCCATTCTGAATGAAATGTCTTGCAAGTTAGGCATGTTAGAGATTGTACATTTGCCATATTCAGTATTTTTTTAAAATTTGCCGGTTTAGATTCTACCTTGCATTGGTTTAATATTTCTTGAGAAAATATTTGCTGTTTGCTTAAGCAAATATTTGCTTCTGATTTGTTTGCTGATTTAGTAAATTACTTGTGGTTTGTTCTGGATTTGGGTTTGTCTTTGGATGCTATTTTAAATCCCTGAGTCTTATCATTAAATTGAATATAGTTGAATTTAAGTGTACTATATCATAGACACAGATCCCAAACTACTTTAATAGCTATATTAAGTGATACAAAATGGTAATGAAAATGTGATTTAATACCAAATTATAGTATTATCTTACACATCTAGTGACCTGTTGCTTTCTTCTGGGGATATAAAAATAACACTTATGGAAGGAGAAATACGGATATAGTAGTTTTGTCTTTAGAATTGCAGAGGTTCCTGAAAGTGAGAGACTGAGAGAGGGAGAGAGAAATGAATGAGACTGAATTGTCTCATTCCTTTTATGGTTCTTTTGTTCCCAACCTCAGGAGGAATCTGGGAGAACTTAATGCAAGTTAAGTAAAAATCAAATAAAAGTAAAATTTGGAATACCAGGTTTGTGAGGGAGATTAAAGAAGTTGGAATCTTTTTTGTGTGGTTTTTTTTTTTTTTTTTTTTTAAGATGGGGTCTCGCTCTGTCACTCAGGCTGCAGTGCAGTGAGGTGATCTCGGCTCACTACAACCTCTGCCTCCCAAATTCAAACAATTCTCCTGCCTGAGCCTCCGGAGTAGCTGGAATTATAGGTGTGTGCGAACATGCCTGGCTAATTTTTGCATTTTTAGTAGAAATGGGGTTTCACTATGTTGGCCAGGCTGGTCTTGAATTCCAGACCTCAGGTGATCCCCCTGCCTCGGCCTCCCAAAGTGCTGGGATTACAGGCATGAGCCAGCATGCCTGGCCTAGAATTTTATCCTGGAAGAAAAAAAGCATTGTTGAAGGTCTGTTATCCTTCAAAGATTTAAAGGGGAAAGGAGATAAAACATTTTTGAGCATACACTATGTGACAGTTATTACTAGGTACTTTTTAAGTGTTTGTTTTACTTTGTGAATAAAGTGTTACACGTAAGAAAGAGTAAGAGAGGCCAGGCTCAGTGGCTCACACCTGTAATCCAGCACTTTGGGAGGCCGAGGCAGTCGGATCACAAGGTCAGGAGATCGAGACCATCCTGTCTACAGTGAAACCCTGTCTCTACTAAAAATACAAAAAATCAGCCAGGCGTGGTGGCAGGCACCTGTAGTCCTAGCTACTCAGAAGGCTGAGGCAGGAGAATGACGTGAACCCGGGAGGCAGAGCTTGCAGTGACCCGAGATTGCACTACGCACTCCAACCTGGGTGACAGAGCCAGACTCTATCTTAAAAAAAAAAAGAACAGCCGGGCGCGGTGGCTCAAGCCTGTAATTTGGGAGGCCGAGACGGGCGGATCACGAGGTCAGGAGATCGAGACCATCCTGGCCTAACACGGGTGAAACCCTGTCTCTACGTAAAAAATACACAAAATCTAGCGGGGCGATGGTGGGCGGGGCGCCCTGTAGTCCCAGCTCGGGAGGCTGAGGCAGGAGAATGGCGTGAACCCGGGAGGCGGAGCTTGCAGTGAGCTGAGATCCGGCCACTGCACTCTAGCCTGGGCGACAGAGCGAGACTCCGTCTCAAAAAAAAAAAGAATAAGAGAGTCAACTTTTATAGCCATTGAATGGGACTCCATTTAGACATAATGTTAGTTGAAGAAAGACTGTGGAAACTCTTTGGGAAATGGTGGGCAGATGGGAGGGAATCAGGTTAGATAAGGACAGCTCTACCTAAATGCAGAAATGCATTCACAGGCTTTTTGAAGCCCTCTTTTTTCCTAGAAGCTGATTTATCCGAGATTTATTTTCTTATAGCCAATGAATTTCCCTGTTTGCCAAAGCAAGTGGCTTGGATCCTGGCCACAAGCAAGGTTTTCATGTACCCAGAGTTACTTCCAGTGTGTTCCCTGAAGGCAAAGAATCCCCAGGATAAGATACTCTTCACCAAGGCTGAGGACAAGTAAGTGTTTACTCTGGGGGACCAAAACAGCAGAATATCCCAAGGAGAAGACATAGTTCCTTTGAGGAGTTTAGGGGAAGTAAGATTTGTGTAATAAAACATGGACACAAAAGACAAAAGGAAGAGCAGTATAGATGAGCAGATTCCTCTAGGACGTGCTTGTTTGTGCCAAATACTGCTTTCTGGGGGATGTCACACACATTTTTAAATTGTTTTAGACCGGACATGTTGGCTCCCACCTGTAATCCCAGCACTTTGAAAGGCCAAGGCAGGAGGTTCACTTTTAGTGTTATTTATTTAGAGACAAGATCTTACTCTTTTACCCAGGCTGGAGTGCAGTGTTGCAATCACAGCTCACTGCAGCCTTGAACTCCTGGGATCGAGCGATCCTCCTGCTTCAGCCTCCATGGAGTAGCTGGGACCACAGGCGTGTGCCACCATACATGGGTAATTTTTTGTGTACAGGTGAGGGTCTCTGTTGCCCAGGCTGCTCTTGATCTCCTGACCTCAAATGATCCACCCACTCGTGGCCTCCCAAAGTCCTGGGATTACAGGCATGAGCCACCGCGCCCATCTAGATTATGAACATTTTTATGGCTCTGTGTGTGTATTGCCACACTGTTATCAGCAAATATGTATATATGTAACCATGATTATATATGTTATGTTAGATGATAGTATTGGTGCCAGTTTAATTTGTCTGACAGGGTACTTATTATTCATTTTATATTTGTTTTATTAGGATCATTTTCCTTCCCATGTATTCTCTTTGAACTTCCTTTGTTTTTTTTTTTTTTTTTTTTTTTTTTTTTTGAGGCGGAGTCTCGCTCTGTGGCCCAGGCTGGAGTGCAGTGGCCGGATCTCAGCTCACTGCAAGCTCCGCCTCCCGGGTTCACGCCATTCTCCTGCCTCAGCCTCCCGAGTAGCTGGGACTACAGGCGCCCGCCACCTCGCCCGGCTAGATTTTTGTATTTTTTAGTAGAGACGGGGTTTCACCGTGTTAGCCAGGATGGTCTCGATCTCCTGACCTCGTGATCCGCCCGTCTCGGCCTCCCAAAGTGCTGGGATTACAGGCTTGAGCCACCGCGCCCGGCCTGAACTTCCTTTGTATTGTTAATATACGGCTCATCACGATCTGACATTTATTAATGATTTATGACTAGTTTCTCTTGATTTATGACTAGTTTCTCTTGCTCCTACTTAATTGTGAACTATTTGATTCTTATTCATAGTACTTAATCACTACTCACTAAATACCTGAAATTTTCTACTGAGTAGTCACCAACTTATATAAGAATTAGTTGTCAAAAAAGTAGATTGGCCAGCCATGGCGGCTCACACCTGTAATGCTGGCACTTTGGGAGGCCAAGGCAGGAGGATCGCTTGAGGCCAGGAGTTCAAGATCAGCCTGGGCAACAAAGTGAGAACTGGTCTGTACAAATAATGAAAGAAAACATTAGCTAGGCATGGTAGCAAACGTTTATGGCCACAGATACTCAGGAGGCTGAAGTGCGAGAATCAATTGAACCCAGGCATTCAAGGCTGCAATGCACTGTAATCATGCCACTGCTCTCCAGCCTGGACAACAGAGCAAGATCCTGTCTGAAAAAATGAAAAAATAGATTGGGCCACACGCCATGGGCTCATGCTTGTAATCCCAGCACTTTGGGAGGCTGAGACTGGAGAATCGCTTCAGCTTAGGAAGTAGTGGCTGCAGTGGGCTGCAATTGTGCCACTGCACTCCAGCCCAGTTAACAGAGTGAGACCTTGTCTTAAGAAAAAATGAGAAAAAGTAGATTGTAAAATGTGTTAGTCTGGGGAGGCCCTTTAGAAGGAAGGACTGTGAAGTGAGATTTAGTGTCATTGCTCCTTTCTCAGTTTGTTAGCTTTAGGACTGAAGCATTTTGAAGGGACTGAGTTTCTTAACCCTCTAATCAGCAAGTACCTTCTAACCTGCAAGACTGCCCGCCAACTGACAGTGAGAATCAAGAACCTCAACATGAACAGAGCTCCTGACAACATCATTAAAGTGAGTGTTTCCTGCATGCGCCATCCATGCACCTCACTAATACATATCCGTTCTTTCCTCTTGTAATTCTGAAAGGAAAGAAGAACCTTATTTTATCTTAAGCTAATTTCTCCTACTTATACACTAGATGAATTCCCCTGTTGCCTTTTCAGAGACATTGACTCATTCATTACGTTCCTCTGGAGTATCTTCATCCTGTTAAAAGATTTCATAAATCCATGTTTCCCTGTAATAGTTCTCTTTCTTGAACTTTTTTTTTTTTTTTGAGATGGAGTCTCGCTCTGTCGCCCAGGCTGGAGTGGAGTGGCGCAATCTCAGCTTACTGCAAGCTCCACCTCCTGGGTTCATGCCATTCTCCTGCCTCAGCCTCCCGAGTAGCTGGGACTATAGGCGCCCGCCACCACGCCCGGCTAATTTTTTTGTATTTTTAGTAGAGACGGAGTTTCACCATGTTAGCCAAGATGATCTCAATCTCCTGACCTCGTGATCTGCCCGCCTCAGCCTCCCAAAGTGCTGGGATTACAGGCGTGAGCCACTGCACCCGGCCTCTTTCTTGAACTTTCTAGAAATGATATGCAGTATTCCACTTACATGTTTTGGGGTTTTGTTTTGTTTTGTTTTTTGGTCAAATGTAATCTTGTACTGTCACCCAGGCTGGAGTGCAGGAGTATAGTGGCATGATCCTGGCTCACTGCAGCTTCCACCTCCCAGGTTCAAGTGATTCTCCTGCCTCAGCGTCCCAAGTAGTTGAGATTACAGGCGTGCCCACCACGCTTAGCTAACTTTTTGTATTTTTGTGTGTTGGCCAGGCTGGTCTTGAACTTCTGATCTCAAGTAGTCCACCGTCTTGGCATCCCAGAGGCTAGGATTAAAGACATAAGCCACTGTGCCCAGCCTATATACTTTTTCTCAACTCTGTGTGTGTTTGTATGTATGCATGTATTTATTTATTTATTGAGATGGAGTTTCACTCTTGTCGCCCAGGCCCAGCCTATATACTTTTTCTCGACTCTTTTTACTTATCGATTGATTGATTGAGATGGAGTTTCATTCTTGACCCCCTGGCTGGAGTGATGGCACGACCTCGGCTGACTGCAACCTCTGCCTCCTGGGTTCAAGCGATTCTGCTGCCTCAGCCTCCCTTGTAGTTGGGACTACAGGCCCCCATCACCATGCCCATCTGATTTTTGTATTTAGTAGAGTCGGGGTTTCACCGTGTTGGCCAAGCTGGTCTCGAACTCCTGACCTCAGGTGATCCATCTGCCTTGGCCTCCCTAAGTGTTGGGATTACAGACGTGAGCCATCACCCCCAGCCTTCTTTTTTATTTTGATATTTATTTATGGTTTGTTTTTTGTTTGTTTGTTTGTTTAGAGACTGGTTTTCACTTCGTCATCCTGGCTGGAGTGCATGGGCACAATCATAGGTCACTTCAACCTCAAACTTCTGGGTGATCCTTCCACTTCAGCCTTCCGAGTAGCTTGTACTACAGGTGCATGCCACCAAGGCTAGCTAATTATTTTATTTTGTGTAAAGACAGGTTGTCATTTTGTTGCCCAGGTTGGTCTTGAAGTCCTGACCTCAAGCAGTTCTCTTGCCTCAGCTCGGCCTCCCAGAGTGTTGGGATTACAGGTGTGAGCCGTGATGCCCAGCCTTTAGTTTCGTTTTGTTTTTGTATTTTTCTTGAGACGAAGTCTTACTCTCCTGCCTAGGCTGGATTATAGTGGTATAGTCATAACTCACTGCAGCCTGCTCAAGCATTCTTCCAACATCAGCCTCCCAAGGAGCTGGGATTATCATGAGACGGGTTGGTTTTTTTTTTTTTTTTTTTTTTGTTTTTGGGACAGGAATCCTCGCTCTGTCACCCAGGCTGGAGTGCAGTGGCACAGATTTAGCTCACTGCAACCTCTGCCTACCAGGTGAATACATTTTCATCGCTCTTCCGCCTCCTGAAGTAGCTGGGACTACCAGGCATGCAACCACCACACCCTTGGCTAATTTTTAATTATTTAGTAGAAACATGAGTTTTACCATTTGGTCACTCTGGATCTTGAACTCCATGAACACATCAGGTGATCTTAGGCCCACCTCGGCCTAATGCCAGAGGCTGGATCTATTAGGCTGAGTCACTGGTGCCTGGCAAAAAAAAATTGTTTTATTTTTTTTTTTTTAGAGATGGGGTGTCCCGTGTACGGTTGCCCACGGCCTGGTCTTCAAGTTTTGGCCCTTAAGGCAAAGTTCTCTTGATCTTCACACCTCTAAGTTGTACTTCTTGGTGTAATTAGGATTTAGGGCCTTTAATTTAGCATAGCTGTACCAATAAACCATGGGAAGCCAAAGAAAATTTTTAAAAAACCGCGTCTCTCGCTCCACTCCTGTTCTCCCACAGGGGCACAACATCGCACAGAATTTATGCTCTCCACCAAACTCCTCACTAGTCAGGTTAATGGAAACAATTTGTTAATTGATTATTCAGGATTACAATACTGCGTAAAGAATTTAAAGGGCTGCGTCGGCCAGAGCGCATGGCTTATGCCTATATGCCTGTAACGCCGCAGCACTCTTGGGAGGACGAGGCGGGCGTGATCACCGAAAGGCTCAGAATCGACACGCCATCTGGCTAGACACCGAGGATAACCTGTTTCTATAAAAATACAAAAACTTAGCCAGCCATGGCCGGGCGAGCGGGCTGTAGTCCAGCTACCCGGGAGGCTGAGGGCAGGAAATGGCGTAAACTCCAGGAGGCGGAGAGCTTGCAGTGAGCCGAAGATCGCACGCATCACCTGGCGCAGAGGAGACTCCGTCTACAAAAAAAAACAAAAAAAAAAAAAAATAGATTTTAAGGACTGTATAAATGCTCTTCACAGCTCAACTATGTTACTGTGATACCTTGCCTTTTCTGCTGAACAGTTTGTTTCCCAGATCATCTTTTGGTGTGTTCAGGCGTTCTAGATATTGTCACTTTCATCATGAAGAAGTTGCTCCCTGAGCCCTTTGATACTATTCCACTCTAAGAGTGTTGCTCTCCAGGTTGCTGCACTGATGTCTTCTTGGGCTTTTTCTTCACCATCATCCTGGGAATTCCTTTGGCCTCATACTGTGTTAGATCCTCTTATTTCCTGAATTCCACATCTTTGCTTTTGCATTACTTCTTTTTTTGTTTTGTTTTGTTTTTTTTAGACATAGTCTTGCTCTGTCCCCCAGGCTGGAGTGCAGTGGCACGGTCTTGGCTCACTGCAACCTTGGTCTTGGTCTTGAACTCCTGGCCTCAGGGGATCCACCCGCCTCAGCCTCCCAAAGTGCTGGGATTACAGTCGTGAGACACCATGCCTGGCCTTGTTTTTTATTTTGTTTTGGGTTTTTTTTTGAGACCGTGTCTTGCTTTGTTGCCCAGGCTGGAGTGCAAAGTCGCAATGATCTTGGCTCACTGCAACCTCCGTCTCCCAGGTTCAAGCAGTTCTCCTGCCTCAGCCTCCCGAGTAGCTGGGAAAATAGGCACATGCTACCACGCCTGGCTAATTTTTTGTATTTTTAATAGAGACAGGGTTTCACTGTGTTAGTCAGGATGGTCTTGCTCTTCTGACCTCTTGATCCACCTGTTTTGGTCGCCCAAAGTGCTGGGATTATAGGCGTATTACTTTTTACTTTAGTGGAACACATTCCAGTAGCTTTTTTTAAAAAATTTTTTTTCTAAATTTTTAAAAATTGAGTTGGGGGGTTCTCAGTTTTTTGCCCAGGCTGGTCTCAAACTCCTGGGTTCAAGTGATCCTCCTGCTTCAGCGTCCCAAAGTGCTGGGATTATAGGCATGAGCCACCCTGCCTGGCCCCATTCCAGTAGCATTCTGAGGGAGAGTGCTTGGGAAGGGAATTTTCACATTTAAACCATCTCTATTCGTGGTCTTTTGATTGTATCAATGTCAGTTTCCTCGTTTTTGTTGTTTGTTTCTTCTTTTTTTGAGACACGAGTCTCACTCTGTTGCTCACTGCAGCCTCTGCCCTCCTGGGTTCAAACGATTCTCTTGCCTCAGCCTCCTCGAGTGGCTGGGATCTACATGTATCGTGCCACCACAGCCAGCTAATTTTTGTTTTTTAGTAGGGATGGGGTCTGTTACCATGCTTTGGCCAGGTGATTTCGAACCCCTGACCCTTCAAGCTGATCCGCCCGGCGCCTCGGCCGTCCATCAAAGTGCTGGGGCATTACAGCGTGAGCCCACACACTTACACACGTCAGGGCACGATTTCCTGTACTAATATTGTACTGTGTACCTTGTTCATATGTATCACATCTTGATCTTACTTACGTAACATAAACCATTATATTTGGGGCCGTCGCAGTGGGCTTCAAGCTGTAATCCAGCAGCACTTTTGGGAGGCGAGACTGGGCGGATCACCGAGCGCTCAGCGAGACTCGAGAACACTCCCTGGCGACACTACGTGAAACCCGTCTCTACTAAAAAGTTACAAAAGAAACTAGCCGGCGCGAGGTGCGGCCTGTAGTCTCCAACTACTCGTGAAGCTGGAGGCAGGAAAGGGCGTTGAACCCAAGAGGCGGCAGCTGCAGTGAGCTGAGATCCGCACTGCACTCCAGGCCTGGGGCGACAGTGAGCGAGAACTCCGTCTCAACAAAAACAAAAAATTATATTGAGAAACGATTTAGACAGAGTACATGGGGACTCCTCTGGTACTATTTTTTGCAATTTCCTATGAACCTCATAATTATTTCATAATTAAAAGGAAAAAAATAATACTCTCCTCTGTCACTATATATCTAGAATTCTACGTAGGACATAATTTTTTAAGAAGCTTTTAAGGCTTTTTATTTAATTTTCTTCTTAGTCCTCTACTTGTGGTGTCTTATGTATAATTCATGCTATTTAAATTTTTCTTGATGACAGGGTGCCCTCCTGTGATTGCCCAGTCTGCAGATTGATCTCAATCATGGCTCAGCCACCATAATTTTTTTTTTTTTTTTTTTCTCTTTAACTGGGTCTTGCTATGTGCA